CAACACGTCCGAGAAGTACTCCGTCGACTCCGTAAACATCGTCTCTATGCCAAACCCGAAAAATGCGAATTCCATTCCACTTCCGTTGAATATCTCGGATATCTCCTATCTCCGGACGGCTTAACTATGTCGTCCGATAAGATCCAAGCTATTACTGACTGGCCGGAACCTCGGAAAGTCAAGGATATCCATCCTTCCTCGGATTCGCAAATTTCTATAGACGGTTTATATTCAACTACTCGGATATCGTGGTTCCGTTAACACGGCTTACACGCAAGGATGCTCCGTGGAACTTTTCCGAGATGTCGGAAATCCTTCGAAGAACTCAAGAAAGCTTCACTACGCTCCGGTGCTTACGCACTGGATGCCGGATGTTCCTATAGTGTGGAAACCGATGCCTCTGACTACGCTATAGCGGAATACTATCCATAGTATGTCCGGACTCAGAGCTTCGTCCGGTAGCGTTTACTCTCGAACGCTAACCGCTCCGGAACAACTACAACACCCACGACAAGGAACTCTAGCTATATTGAAGCTTTCCGGACCTGGCGACATTATCTAGAAGGCTCGGCCGAGCCTGTAGATGTTGTCACGGACCACAAAACCTTGAGTACTTCGCCACTACCAAACTCCTCTCTCGTCAGGCCCGCTGGTCGGAATTCCTCCATCAGTTCAATCTTGTCATCGCTTCCGTCCGGAAAACTCGGAGTTAAACCGGATTCCCTTACTAGACGCTGGGACGTCTATCCCAAAGAGGGGGATAAGGACTACGCTCGAGTTAACCCTCATAACTTCCGTCCGGTATTCACGTCCGAACAGTTAGCTTCGTCCCTACGAGCCTCAACCTTAGCAACTCCGGTTCTTAGAGCAGCTGTTCTAATGGATATTGATGACCTTCGGAAAGACATCCTGACCGCACTTCCTAATGACCCTATTGCAACCAACCATCTTCCGGTACCTTCGATCCGAGATGGACAGTGGACGATAGGGGTTTCCTCCGTTGCGACAACCGTATATATGTCCCAGAATCCGATAACCTTCGACTTCGCGTCCTCCGTAATACTCATGATCACCCCTTATCCGGACATTTTGGTCAAAACCGAACCCTAGACCTCATCCGACGAGTATACATGGCCGGGTATACGCACCTATGTTAAGGACTACGTCCGGTCCTGCACTACCTGCGCCCGAGCCAAGGTTCCGAGACATAACCCTACGGATTGCTCAACAACTACCCATACCGGAAAAGCCTTGGAATTCCATCCATGGATTTCATAGAGCAACTTCCGGACTCATCGGCTTTACAGCCATCCTCGTTATCATCGATATCCAAACAAGCAATATTTGTTCCGACTCACGATACCATTACCTCTCCGGATCTCGCTCCTATTCCTACTTCAGTGTTTTCCAAGCACGGAGTTCCGTCCCATGTCACCTCGGATCGGGTACAGATTTGTATCCCACTTCTTCCGATCCTTAGGAAAAGCATTGGATATGGTCCTCCACTTCACATCCGGATATCATCCGGAAGGGGATGGACAAACCGAGCGTGCCAACCAAACCCTGGAACAATACCTTCGGATATATTGCAATTATCACAGGACAACTGGTCGGAACTACTTCCCTTAGCTGTTACAAACTAGGATGGTTCAGACGTATGGCTACTCGATAAGAGTTAACCGGCCAAGGTCGGTTCAAGACTTCGGCGTATACCGAAGTTCGATGTTCTAAGACAAGACAAGGAGAGTGTCCTCGACCACATATTGCAGTAACATATCTCCGTATTATACGAGTGGACGGACGTGCATAAATCCCGTATGATACGGGCCAGCGGACCATGGGCCGAGGGTAGATATATCTACGACTGTGACGGATGGGCCGGGAGTGTTATTATTCCTGATGGAGACGGGTGGGCCCAGGTGGGGAATATGTAAAGTAGATGGGTGGGCCGATGGACATGAATTTTCAATAGACGGATCGGCCGAGGTAGTTGGATATTATGTAGATGGGTGTACCAAGGTAGATATGTATCAAATAGCCGGGTATATCAAGGGTGCTTGTTATCACATAGACAGGTGGGCCCAGATATATATCATATAGACGGGTGGGCCGACGAATTAATATTATTTTGTAGACGGGTGGGCCGAGGGAGTGGTAAAAGATGTATTATATACAGGTGGGCCGACGGGAGACATATATTGCATAGATGGGTAGGCCGACGGGGGTATATAAGATAGACGGTGGGGCCCAGGAGAATGATAATTGTAGACATGATGGAGCTCAGCTAGTTGTATATCATCCAAATCAAAGGAGGTGATTATTCAAAGTCATCTAATGATGTGGTATGGCACGGAGCTTTGCAAAGGGGTGAAGTGAAACTCGAGCGAAGTGTACCGAGTTCCGAGACCCGGGTCTCGACAAACGAATATGTGATGTCCAGCACACTTCCGATCATCTGGTATCTCATTGAGCAATGGATGAAATAGATCTTTGAAAGCCAACATCATCCAAGCCTACCAAATGCCAAATGCCAAGTTCCGACCACCGAAAATTGAGTGAAGTGTACCAATATCTGAGCCCCAACTATCGAATCCCGAAAATCGACCATCGAGTCCTGACTATCGAGTCCTGACTACCGAGTCATGAAACCCAACACTGACCATTGAATCCCAACAATCGAGTATCGAGTCCCGACCAACGAGTCCCGTATATCGAGTCCCGACCATCGAGACCTGAGACCCAACGCCCGAGACCTGAGACCCGACACCCGAGACCCGAGACCCGAGATTCGAGACAAGTTCCAACTATGGTGTCCCGGGTATCAAAATCGAGTGAAGTGTACCGAGATCCGAGGCCCGGGTCTCGACAACGAGTATCTGACATCCAACAGATTCCAATCATGTGGTATTTCATTGAGCAATAGATGATAAGAGAAATAGATCTTTGAAAGCTCAGATCATCCAAGGCTCCCTTATCTGATCCTCTCAATCTCCACCCCCTTTAACACCAAAGTGGGACATTCAGGATTCAGCTTCTGATCTCACAAGATCAATTCAATCATGGATGTTTCTTCCACTTCCGATGATGAAATAACCCTCTTGCGCACTTGGGCCACTTCAGTCAACCACTTGAAATGACTTCTTAGGTCTATGTGTTTGTGGCTAGCAAAGGACCTAGGGGTGTTCTAGGATGGTATTCCCAGTATTTTACCCCATGTACTGGGATGTCCCGGTCCATACTGAAGCAAGTATCTGGGCCATCCCAAGGACCTTTTTTGATCTTTCCCAATCCCAACCGGGATCACTCTAGCATGTCTCTGGGATGTCCCGGGGCATTTATCAGGAGGGCTTTCCCATCATAAATAGGGGTGATAGGGGTCCTTTTTCAGACATTTTGACGGCATAAAAATTCATGATTTGTACATCCATAGAAGGAGTAGTACTAGGTATGCAAGGCCAGTATATGCACTTGAGACAAGATTTTGATATGGGACAAAAACCTGCAGGATTTTTGGCTTGAAACAGCGTCCTAAACGTAAGAGAAGTCTAACTGAGTGCAGCACTAGTCATTGAGTAATGAGGTTGTCTTGCGAGCAACATGCAATAAAATGTGGGAGCTTTACTTGCGAGTCTGTTAGAAGACAAAGCGGGGGGGTGGCACAGACTTGGATAGCACTAAATGTGAGGCTTTACTTGCGAGTCTGTCATAAGATGACGGGGGGGGGGGTGCACGGAAGGGGGGGGTGGCAAAGATAATATGCAATAAAATGTGGAGGAGCTTTATTGCGAGGTCTGTCATAAGACGACGGGTGGGGTGCACAAAGGGGGGGTGGCATTGGCATTAGATAATATGCAATAAAGTGTGGGAGCTTTACTTGCGAGTCTGTTAGAAGACAAAGCGGGGGGGTGGCACAGACTCAGATATGCAATAAAATGTGGGAGCTTTACTTGCGAGTCTGTTAGAAGACAAAGCGGGGGGGTGTGCAAGGAAGGGGGGTGGCAAAGATAATAGGCAATAAATGTGGGAGCTTTACTTGCGAGTCTGTCATAAGACGACAGGGGGTGTGCAAGGAGGGGGGGTGGCATTAGATAATATGCAATAAAATGTGGGAGCTTTACTTGCGAGTCTGTCATAAGACGACGGGGGGGGTGTGCAAGGAAGGGGGGGTGGCAAGATAATATGCAATAAAATGTGGGAGCTTTACTTGCGAGTCTGTCATAAGACAACAGGGGGGTGTGCAACAAAGGGGGGGGTGGCATGGCATTAGATAATATGCAATAAATGTGGGAGCTTTACTTGTTGAGTCTGTCATAAGACGACGGGGGGGGTGTGCAAGGAAGGGGGGGTGGCAAAGATAATATGCAATAAAATGTGGGAGCTTTACTTATCTCATGTCTGCTGAGCGTCGTAAGGGGTGATAATGCGGAATCGCTTATTTTTGCTTGCAATATGGTAGCAATATGGAAAATGGTTTGGCACTGTCCAAGGTTCTTCCGGCTATATTTCTATGTTACTGTTCCTGGCTGGGAATGTTGATAAAATGAAGCCATCCTCTCATTCGTGACGGGGTGTTGCATATTCGACTCGAGTAGGCCATCATAACAGCTTGAGAGATGAAGTTTCCAATTTGAGGAGGCATCCTGTATTGTGTGTTCAGGAAGAGGGCATGGTCCTTGAGATGCTTGACCTCGAAGATGCTCTTCAGGTCGTGGATATCATCCTGACATAGTGTGGCAATTGTTTTGTCATCGCCAATGAAGCAAATCTTTTCTAAGGAGGTATGAGAGGTGAAGAGAGGAATGTAGGCACAATCTCAATTTGGGATGCTATCTAGAGGGGGGGGGATAGATAAATCTGACTAGCTAATGGCACTGTTCGGGCTCTCCCCTACCTCTCTAGTACTATCGGGCCTTCCCGCCCACCCCATACACATCATCGGGGCTCTCCCGCCTGCCATTCAATTAGCAACTGGGCTCTCCCACCGACCATATACGCATCCTCTGGGCTCTCCCACCGACCATATATGCATCCTCTGGGCTCTCCCGCCTACCATTCAATCAGCAACCGGGCCTTCCCACCAACCCTACCAACACATTTGGGCTCTCCCGCCGACCATATACGCATCTTCTGGGCTCCCGCCTACCGGGCTCTCAATCAGCAACCGGGGCTTCCCGCCAACCCTACCAACACCATTTGGGCTCTCCCACCGACTGTATACACATCATTTGGGCTCTCCTGCCTACCCTCTACTACTATCTGGGCCTTCCCACCACCCTAATTATACCAGTTGGGCTCTCCCGCTGACCATAATGACACTATTTGGACTCTTCCATCTACCTCTCAACTACTATCCAGGTGTTCCCACTCACCCTAATTATGCTATTATGCTGGCCTTGATCAGCTCTTGTAGACTTCGGAGTATGTTCAAATCACATGCATTTCAGTATTTGTATTCAACCCAAAGTGCACATATTTCCATTTACCTGAGCACAGTGAACACAAATCCATCTGAATATAGAAATTGAAATCTACAAAAAGCAATATTGTGTGCAAAGTACATGTTATGCTACATAATTGCTAGTGTGGTAGACTGAATAGGATGACGGGCAAAAGACTTTGCAAAGTTTTGATGAGATGAGCAGCATTCAGCAGCCATATACAATTTGACACCTAAATATAAGGACTTGTGGTGTAACGGTTAGAGTGTGTGTATGCCTGCATAGCATGTTTATGTGAGTTCGAACCTGCCAACGTGCATTTTAAATATTTGTTTTTTTTCTTCAGCAGAAAAATCCGTGGAGGTCGATTCAATCCTCTTGCATGTGATGATAAATTATGTTGCCATTCGTTTTGTCACCAAACCTTCTCACAGATATAGTGCGCAAACTTAATTTCACACGTTTTGGGCTGTTGGTACACATATGATTGCATTACAAGATCGTCAACAAAAGGGAGACAGACATGACCTGTCTTGTTCCGACACATGGGAGTACTAACATTACATGTGAAAGCTTCATCCGCAAGAGACAACTGAAGTGATGAGGTACCCGAAGTACAACAGTGAGAGGTACACGAAGTACAACAGCTAGAGGTACCCGAAGTACAAAAACGTGAGGCGCTAATATGAACAACCAAAGGCAAGCAAAGTCAATATGAATGAGTGGACAGCACAATTCTTGCCCATGTTAGTAGCGAAACCGCGAAGGCCCGTCTTCATAATGAGAGTCACCAGCTCTCCTTTTGGAACCTCTGATTGAAATCATCAGCATGATTTTGCCGGCGTGAGTGAGCAGGACGTCCAGGATAAGAACATCATCGCTAAGCGCGACAGGAGAAGTCTCGCGTTGCCTGTAGGTGGGCCGATAGTACCTTGAGCGAGATGGATCTCGCTGAGGGTATACAGGAGGTGAACGAGAATATTCACGGCGGCGGTTTGGGGCAACGAAATCTCTGTCCTCACGACGAGGGCCTGGGTAGGGCGCAAGCCTAAGCAATTAAATTAATATATGTTGGAAGTCGTGGAAAGGTAAGACATACTCCAAGTCTGCATCATTACGAGAGTCAGCGGGACTCTCCTCCATGCGGCGCATGAATGTAGGGTCAACCTGAAGAAGATCAACATTGAGTCTTGACGGAATAGCGTAGCACTTACCCGTAAAGGTTTCTTCGCCTTGAACGGCAGGCTAGCCTGTCGTCTTCCACCACCGACAGGTTCATCTCTGCTTGTAGGCAGAACAGGGCGAGATTCACGATCAAACACATTTGGGACTTGAGGAAGATGAGTGTCCTCGCGCGATGTACTGCTGTGAAATTGGTAGGGTGACGTTGGTTTGATGGCAAGGTCGGGGGGCTCGGAGTGACAGGAGATTCATGATCACTTGGCAGCGTGTCGTGAGTAGAGGGAGTCTGACCATCCGGATGTGCTTCATGAGCTGCCAATATATCTTCAGGGACAGACCCTAAATTTGGCGGAGTCTACTAGCTTGCGTAGCACAACATCCAAGGCACTGGTCACCAAGGGAATGTCGAACATCTCCGGCACCTCGTCATTGAGCTGCTTGATACATTCTTGCACAATCGACATCAGAAAACAAAGGTATAATGATAACGTGGAAATGACATACCATCTGGCCAAGCTGCGAACTCGATCTCGGGTACATCGACATCTAATTCACTCATGACGTCTTCCACAGTGCGCCCCTGACCTCGGCGCTTGCCCTTGACTTCTTTTTCTCTAGCTCTAACAAGCTCTCAGCTTCAGTGCGGAGCTCTGCCTCATAATAAGAATGCGCTTTGCGCTTGATGAAAGGAACGACAAGTAGCTTGAGGTGCTGAGAACTTAGGTTGTGAGGATTGAATTCGGGACCGATAGGAAGGACGTTGTAGAGACTCGATCCTGAGTAGCCTCACAATGGCATATATTGCAACATAGGTCGAGTCTACAGTAATGCATGCAACGCGACACTTGCGCAGATAAACGCGACGTTCGCGCGACACATAGGCGACACTTCTGACATAGGCGACACTTCCGCGACTTGCGCGCTGCGCGCGCTTTAGGCGAACTTTCCCGCGCCTAAGCGCTATAGGGCGCCTGACTTCCCACTGTGTTTTCCCATGTCCAACCAAGTTCCCAGGTATGCATTTCTCCATTTATCATTTATTTCAACATCGTACCATGTTTATTTTCACTTGGTACACATTTTTCATTACACATTTTTTTACTTTATACAACACACATTACCACGGACCACCATCATCATAGACAGTCCCATCTCCGAGTTTTTATTATGTTTTGAATAAATCATCGCAAGCCCTAGTAGCAGTTAGCTCTAGTGGCCATATCCGCATCAGTTGTCTTATCAGCATCTCAGTACACGTCTTAACATCTCACTATCGCTCGCATACCGCTTTCACCCAGTTCCGCTTTTCGACGCGCGACTTTCCCGCGCTTCGCGCGCCTATAGCGCCTTTGTTCCCGCGCTTTTCGCCTTATCACGCGCTTTGCGCATTCCCCCTAGAGTTGACCAGTGGATATTTTGCTTTCTCCGCTTCCCTAAGGGACGAACATATCGCACTCATATTTCCTCCCTTCACAATTATATCAGCTGCACCCTCAGCTGAGTTGAAGATCCTTCAACGTCTTCAGGCCAGTTCTTAATCATGAACTTGTACTGGAAAGCATAGTCAAGAAGCTTCCGCCACTGGACTGCTTTGGGTTGACCCAAACTTCGCTATTTGAGCAGAATCCAATGAATCGTTGAATTTGGACAAACTTGAGTACTCACAAGTGTGCTCGAGTACCATAATTGGCCATATCCTCCTGTAAACGTCGCGGGGAGCCTCGTTTTTGCTTTGAAAGTAGAATCTCGTAAGCCCCTACTCCACTCCCCCCATGAACTGCGGCACAACGGATATATGTAGCCTTTCGCTCTGTGAATATATCAGGAGGTAGGAAAGTCCAGATAATAAGACGTATACTTCGTTGCAGTCACCCCAATCTAATATTGCGCGAAGCATCCAGTTGATGCTCATTATCAACTGACTATGAGTCGGAGCCCCGCACAAAGCCGGATGCCGTCGAGCAGCCTCGTCTTGTGTTGTAATCAAATATATACAGACCGATGGCTGGCTCGCTCCTTCAAGGCGAGAATAAGCAGACAACTGTATTGAGTCATTAGTCGTAATTTAGAATGCGCTAATGAAGTAGATGTACCTTTCTTGCAATATCCTCCCTCATTGACAAATGGTCTTGGCGCGTGATTGATTGGTATTGCCGCCAGTAACGTTATAGTTGCGAATGATGTCCCACTCTTCGTCATCCTTGCCCATCGCATGATAATGTTTGCGTTGACGTTCTTTCCAGTCGATGATAGCTGAGACTCTCGAGTTAGCATCATATACACCACAGAATGGGGGACTGACATTCTTTGTCCTTGCGGGGGTTATTATCCATGAACCAGCGTTGGTGGGCATTCCAATCAGACTCTGATCGTGAATGCTTGATGGACAGACCAGCCTCAATGAGAATAGGCGCGCGGACTTGCCATACTTGGCGCCAATCACCCAGCTTCTTCTGCTGTTTTCTGTCCAAGTTCCTGAGCCTCATCGATGCCCTCCTGACATAGCCGTCCACGCTTTAAATGACCTGAGGGTTCGTCTTCATTCTCACTGTTGTCAATGTCCGGCGTCGGGCCAAAGACTATACTGGCTGGAGTGGGGTTGCCACCATGTGAAATAGCTGCATGCTTCTTGCGAACGGTTGTCGAGTGAGATGTTTTTTGGGAAGTGTTGGCCAAGGTAGTTTCGATCGCTGAAGACCTTTTCCTGCGCTTAGCAGGCGGTGAAGACGGGCTGTTGTGGTTGGGGTCGAGGTCTTTGTTTGCATCTGACTCATGGGCGGAATCTTGATCAGATGTTGCGGGGCCTTCACGGTAGCTGGTATCCGATGAAGAGCTTTGAGAACCATCATCGAAATGTAAATTGTAGCTGCCCTTCTTGACCCTTCGAGGCCGAAGTCTCCTGGCTGCGTACAACAGATGACCATCAGCCCTCCCCACTAAGAGAAAAGTAAGATAGTACATACCTTGTGAAGTCTCGAAGTCCTTGTTATTTTCGCCACCCTCAGGCTCTTCATCGCCACCCTCAAGCTCTTCATCGCCACCCTCAGGCTCTTCATCGCCATCCTTGGCGTCGTTGTCGCTATCACCTTCTACGTTGTCTTCACGGTGACAACCGTCAGCCTTCCCAACGATATACTAAATGAAAAATAGATACCTGAAGTCTTTCCACGTACGGAGCCATCATATCCTCATCCTCATCTTCGTTAGCCTGGCTTGTTCACGGTCTTCATTGGTCATATCATCATCGGCATCATTGTCGCTACCCGCCGTTCATATCATCATCCATGCGAGTGTCCGTAACGGGTACGTCATCGTCGATGTCAGGTGTATCTATGAAAGGGGTTAGTATAGTTATTGTTGTGAATGCCGTAAGTCATTACCTGGGGGATGGTCGCTTTGCACTCCATTCCAGAAGAGACAGAGTCCGCTGTGGGTTTTAAGTGTTGTTTGCGAGGGCGAGCAAGGATTCGAGCATAGTCCTCAAAGGTCGTACCCGAGGAACGTGGGGTAAGGACGAGGTTTTGGCCGGTTAGGGTCATCCGGAGCAGGAGATGACTCGGGGGGACAGCATTTCTTTGGCGCTTATTATTTTGTTTGGCGGGGGGGGTTGATGGCAACACCACTGCGTGTGCGCATGACATAGGTGCCAGACACTGTGGGGTCATGAGTGCCAGTACCGGTAGCACCACGACGGGCTGCATTTCTGGTAGACGGTGCCATTGAAACGTAGGCGGGCTTGATACTGAGAAAAGGGGGTGCTTTACACGAATGTTGAAGCAGGGCAGCTTGTGAAACACGAAGTCTTACAGCTAGATTTCAAGACTCGAAGTCTTGACAGGACGATAGAAGAGTACAGAAAACTAATGGTTGCGAGTCAAAAAGAAGAAAGATTCTTGTTTAAAAACATGAACATTGCGGGTTTTAACTAATGGTAAGGCACCCAATACACATCAAGAAATAATATTCCAAAGTTGTAATCCCGCCCAATCGACACCGAAACGAACAGAGGTACATTGAAAGAACATTGTTAGAAAAATGGAATATTCACCACAAAGGATCGTATACTAACTTATTGGGGATGGCCCACATTAAAAAGCTTCGAAACTTACGAAAATGAGGGTCCAAATGGGTGATGGGGCGAATATGAGCTTCTCCGCGCGTAAGAGTCCAGGCTACTGGCGGTACTGATGATGCCATGGTCATCATCAAAAATCTCCTCCAGCGTGTCGAGAAAAGAATGCTTACAATTATACGCGCCAGTGTCCCTACCATATTTTGCATACCCCAAACTTTGATTATCTGTTGTAAGTAGAATGAAACGATTGTATAATTGTAAGATGGGGGAGGACGTACCGATCGGTAGTTGGAATACAAAGATGTTGAGCGTTCAAAATTCCCGCAGACGATGAAATAGAATTGAGTTGCTGGACATGCGCTTGCGCAGAGAACGAATAGATAGTGGCGCAGTGTTGAGGCATCCGACTCGTAGTCAGACAGCCAGACAGTGCTGGATGACGCGAAGTCACCCAGCCAAAGCGTGTCTGCCTCGAAGGCAGAACCATGCGATCAGGCCAGTCGATGCGGTGGAGACAAGGGTGGGAGATGAGGATGTCGTTGAAAAATCCTGCGTGTAATCAATTAGAATAGAGTTAAATGGACACATACATTTGTAGAGGATGGATTGTGGGCGAGGTGTTGAGGTAGGTAGACCGTAATCTGACTCGTAGTCAGACGGCCAGATAGCGCTGGATGACACGAAGTCATACAGGCAGAACTTGTCTGCCTCGAAGGCAGACCATGCAATGAGGCCAGAGGTTGAAGATGGGGGCAAACGATGAGGGCAGAGGGCAGACGATGAGTGGAAATGGGGCCAAACATTGATGAGATTACTAAATTGGTCGAAATCAGAAGGGCTTTCCCAGGCTTTGATCTGGGCTTTCCCACTCTAGGTAAGGGCTTTCCCACACTGAATCAAAGTGTGAAGTCCACTTTGAACGCTTTTCCTCATCCTCAACGCTACTCCTCATCGCGGCGGCTCACATTCCCCAGCCTATTCCCCAGCCTCTACAGTCTACCTTCGTGGTGGGCGTCCTTTGAGCAGCAACTTCGTGTTGTTTGCTACTATCGATTGCTTAGACTTCGGTCGGCAGTCTTGTCATCCACCAGCTCAGTATCGTGCTATGACCACCTTGATTTATGCTATCATTACTAACATCACGCCCTCACCAGATCTCTCCCATCTTCAAGACTCTTACTGCCTTCGTGGGTCTTAGACTTCATAGGTAAGTACATTCGTTATTCGTCACGCTATTATGACTACATTAGGTCTTTAACCAGACTCGCTCAAGACTCCTGTCGCCCTTTACAGTAAGTTCGTTCATTACACTGATTCATGCTATCATCACTGACACCACGCCTTCGTCAGATTTCTCCTGAATCTTTCAAGACTCTCTCTCTCGCTATCTGCCTTCGTGGTAGCATTTTAATCGGCAGTGACTTCGAGTCGCTGTTTCATTTAAATTTCCTTCCTCAGTGACTGCGAGTCGCTGTATCTTTCCCTGTTCTCGATATCACGGTTCCTGGAGCTACAACCATGTCGATTCCTGTCTTCAAGCCATTCATGCGCGATGGTGACCGTACGTTTTGGCATCTTCGTACCTCTACTACTCTTGATTGACGATATCCAGGTTACCTGACTGCCACTGATGCTTTCTGTGTGGCTACATATGGCCACCGAGTAATCACAACTCCCAACATGAAATTCATTCCCCAACCCTTCGACAACGAATCCGACATCATTCAAGCGCGCGCAGATGGTAGATATTGGGCCCTGGATCCCTGTTAAGACCGTACTCAAGTAGTATCGGATCCGAAGGGCTTCGGCCTCAGCTCGTGCGCTGTGCCCCTTTCCCGAGTCTTGCCCCTTATTTCAGAGAGCTAAAGTATCGCGTGTATAGAGTAACGGCCAATCCGGATCGGATCCGGACTAGAAACTAACGGGTGAGGACTGTCCGAAGACAGAGGCGGATATGTAGACTATAGGAATCTATCCTAAGTCTCGGAGTAGACAAGAGTAGCGTACTCAAGTCCGGATGGATAACGGAGGGACTCAGAGTCCAGACGGAATGAGTGCAATCTAAGATGATATTCGAACTGATCTACTACAGCGCATATACAAAGGTTTATATACTACGGATAGCTAACGGAATGATCCATAAGCAAAGGTGCGAGGCTATGTACGAAAGTATAAGCAAAGTCTAAGTGGAGCGTATTGGTAAGTTGGATGGATCACGAATCATGAACCGGGAATGAAGTACAAGTAAAAGCGGATTCGTAAGTGTAGCGGATCAGTAAGCAAAGCGGAAGTAAAGGATAACCGGTATACCGGTGTACAGGAATACCGAAAGGAGATGAACGATAGTTAGAGTTATATGAACAGGAAATGAAATAAGAATCAAAGCGGATCTGTGGACCGGACGATGGATATGTTCATCGGATCTGGATCGGATCTGAGATCCAGATCATCGGATCTGTAACCGGATATATGGTATATGACAAGCCGACGCATCCGGGGGTCCGGATGACATAGAATCATATTCTATGTCATCATCCGGCCCGAGGTATAAGTCATCTAAGTCATCTAAGGGATACCCGGTGAATAGATAAGGCATGATAAGAATACAACATACCTAGTGATGCCCGGCCCATAGATGAGTCATCCACATCCATAGAATTATAGTCGGTCACCGGTGGGTCATTAAATCTAACGGCTGGATGGGCACTCATGTGTGGAGAATTGGTGGACTGATTGACTGATGATCTAAAAAACTTCGAAGTTCAACACAAAGCCGGCAATTGCTGAAAGTTGAACAACAACCAAACAAACACAAACAATAAATGATTTTGTGGATCGCCCATCAAATGTCTTGTTTGTTTGAAACTTCATCTTTCTGATAACTGATTTCAATCTGATTTCAAGATCTTTAAATCTCTCAACCCACTCATCATGTCCACTCCAGTTGACAACTCTTTGACCCATCTCAAGGCATCCGCTGCCCAGATCATGGCCATCATCAGTGCCGCCTGGCAGATTCCCCCAGGTCCCAGCCACTCAGCTTTGGGAAAACAGGTTGCTACACTTGTGGTATGTATTTTGTTTGGGTGCTTTTTCTTCTCTAACATCTTGGTAGTCTGATGTAGCCAAGGAGTATGGGTCCGGGGATGGTCCTATTCCCGGCCTCATCATTTTGTGCTCCAAAGAGCTCCAGCGCATCCGCAACATGGTTCCCAAGGTCTGGCCAGACTGGCACTCCATCGGGTATGATGATCCTCGCATTCTGAGGCACGCCTGGTACCCCAAGGTCCTCACCTGGAACGCTTTAGGCGACCAGACCTTCGATCTCCCAACTGCTGCCCCCCCCATCCACAGGTCCGATTCCTGTCAACCTTCCCTCCCCAGCCATCCCTGCCGGCAATGTTGCCGGCCCTTCCACCAACCCCACCACCGAGTCCCGGGACAAGGGGAAAGGTAAGGCCGTCTTCGCTGACCCAGACCCCGAGGCAGAAGGGAGTAAGAAGAGGAAGTCCCCCTTGATTTCTGGACCCTCCTCCCAACCCCCAAAATCCGCGATGAAGAGTCACAAGCGTCAGAGGTCTGCTCGCGTTGTGAAGTCCAAGGCCATCATGGAGTCGGAAGATGATGAAGACTCGGTTATGCAGGTATGTCGTCTTGTTCATTTTTTCATTGTCTCTCATTTTCGTGTAGCCACCTTTGGATGGAGTGCCGGAGGTCGTCCTTCCCCGGCTCTCCACAATTGTCGCAAGGATGCCTGATTCACCTCGCTCGCCCCGGGTACCCAAGAAGAAGCCCTTTGGCCCTGCCACAGTAAGTGTCATTTATGCGTCCGGGACTCGGGTGTGTGCTTACATTATACCAGGTGATTGCCGGCAGTCACACAGCAGTTGTGGAGCCCTCCCAGCCCACTCCCAAACCTCCGGTGCAGGCACCCCCAGTCATCCCTGCAGTTGACATTCTCATTCCCGGACCGGTGAGTACTTTGAAATATCTCATGTGTCCATACACAAATACAACCAACAGAACAACCCATGCTATGCTTGCCACAAGCACAACTGGCCTTGCGCAACTTGGCCGGACAAGAGGACCGGGGCTCCATGTATGTCGTGCGTCTACTGCACAACAAAGAAGATCAAGTGCACCCCCGCGACTATGGGATCCCCGCCTCCTCGCAATCGTTCTTCCTCTACTACCCGGAAGACGAGGTCCAGAACACCATCCAGGGCTTCCTCCAAGACTCCCTCCAAGGCTCCCCCCGCATCCAAAACTCCCGCCCCCTCCAAAGCTTCCCCTGCCTCCCAGTCCAGGGCCCGAACTCGCAGTCAGTCTCGTGGCCGGGCCGGAACTTCTGGTGTCACTGCTGTGACCACTCCCAAGACCCAGACGCGTGGTCGCAGCAAGACTATCACTGCCGTCAAGGCACCTGCACCTGCACCTGCACCTGCACCTGCACCTGCACCTGCACCTGCACCTGCACCTGCACCTGCACCTGCACCTGCACCTGCACCTGCACCTGCACCTGCACCTGCACCTGCACCTGCACCTGCACCTGCACCTGCACCTGCACCTGCACCTGCATCTGCACCAGCTCGTAAGTCACCCGAGTTTTTCATCACCGTCTGACCTTCATTTTCCCTTGTAGCCCTTCCGTCTTCCAGGTCAGCAGTCCCTGCTGCAGCACTTGGGGTGCCCATGCCAGATCTCCATGCCATGTCCATTGCGATTCGAGATGGCGCAGCTCGAATTGCTCTTCTGGAGGCTCGATGCCTCTGCCATCGAGGGTCTCCTGTTCAACTACAACCAAGTTGTTCATCCAGAGGATCCAGATGCATCCGGCGAAATTGTGGACCCAGGTGATCCAAGCAACCTTGTCCCAGAATATGACTCTTCCAGCAACATGGATGTTGAGGTGGAGGTGAAGGTTGAAGAGTCTTCTGTGGAGGTTGACATGGCTACATAATTGCATAGTGATAGATGTATATACAAGTTTTCAATGAATGTAACCTCTGCCAGTCCATTGATTGAGTCACTGAGTTCCGAGTCGCGAGACCCGGAATTCGGCACTCGGGATTTGAGACGACAGATTTGAAACTTGAAACTTGAAACTCGAAAGCACTCGAATCTCGGGTCTCAGTACTCGGTATTCGGTACTCGACACGATGCTCAAAACTCGTAAAACTGTTTCGAATCACCGAGTACTGACTACCAAGTACCGAGTACCGAATCTCGGGTCTCGGTACTCAGTATTCGGTACTCGACACGATGCTCAAAACTTGTAAAACTGTTTTGAATCACCGAGTACTGACTACCGAGTACCAAGTACCGAATCTCGGGTCTCGGCACTCGGTAGTCAGTACTCGGTGATTCAAAACAGTTTTACGAGTTTTGAGCATCGTGTCGAGTACCGAATACCGAGTACCGAGACCCGAGATTCGGTACTCGGTACTTGGTAGTCAGTACTCGGTGATTCAAAACAGTTTTACGAGTTTCAAGCATCGTGTTGAGTACCGAATACCGAGTACCGAGACCCGAGATTCAGTACTCGGTACTTGGTATTCGGTAGTCAGTACTTTCGAGTTTCGAATTTTGAGTTTTGTTTCCAATCTTTCGTCTCGCATGCCGAGTGCCGAATTCCGGGTGTCGGGTGTCAGTACTCAGTTCTCAGTACTCGGTACTCGGTGATTCGAGTCTCGAGACTTGTGACTTGTGATTTACAAATCGACATTTGAAACTTGTGATTTCTGAGAACAATGTGTATTATCTTATGTATTTCTGTACTCATTTCACCGACTACTGAGTGCCGAATCTCGGGTCTCGGGTCTCGGTATTTCAAGACAACAAAAATGTATATCATCTTAAATTTGAATTTTCTTAACTCGAGACTCGAAACTCGTAAAAATGTACAATACCTAGGCCTATCTGTCTATATGATATGTATCTGGGCCCACCCGTCTATCTAATACATAATTCACCTCACCCTTGGCCCACCCGTCTATCTAATATTACCCGACGTCGGCCCACCCATCTATGTAGAATTCCCCACGTCGGCCCACCCGTCTATCTAATATGACCCCACGTCGGCCCACCCGTCTATCTAATATTACCCGACGTCGGCCCACCCATCTATGTAGAATTCCCCACGTCGGCCCACCTGTCTATCTAATATGACCCCACGTCGGCCCACCCGTCTATGTAATAAATAATTCCGCTCACCCTCGGCCCACCCGTCTATGTAATAAATAATTCCGCTCACCCTCGGCCCACCCGTCTATCTAATAAATAACTCACCTCACCCTCAGCCCACCCGTCTATCTAATATTACCCCACATCGGCCAACCCGTCTATGTAATAAATAATTCCCCTCACCCTCGGCCCACCCGTCTATCTAATAAATATTTCTTCACCGCTCCCTCGGCCCATCCGTCTACAAAATAATACTAATACGTCGGCCCCACACGTCTATATAATACTATTTGCTATACATCTCTCCTCAGGTCTATAATATATGTCAATCCTACTCTACATATTACCCACATGGGCCCACCCATCTCCATAATAATATTTCTCCCGGCCCATCCGCTATCGTCGATGATATATATAACATCAGCATAGATGGGCCCACCCGTCTCCATCAGAAATAATATGCCTCCCGGCCCACCCGTCAACATCGGGAATATACATAACATCGGCCCATAATCCACTGGCCCGTATTACACGGGATATTATGTAGGTCGGGTGACCCGTATAATACGGGATTTGTCACTGAAGGG